TATTATATATATATAATATGTATATGTTATATTTATGCTGATAAATAAATAAAGGGAGACTAGTATAGATCTATTTCAAGCTTTTTATCTCTCTTCATCTAGCCATCCCCAAGGTTTTTTTTTGGGGGGGGGGGAATCGAAAACTTGGGTATGGCTAGCTGATGAGAGCTAAATAGCTTGAAATAGATCTATACTAGTCTCCCTTTATTTATTTATCAGCATAAATATAACATATACATATTATATATATATAATACTTTTAGAGGCTACATTGTGGCTCCTACAATCCATGGAAACAAAGTGTGAGAAAGGCATATCTAAGGGCTGGATTTCAAATAATTTAAGAATTTGAAAATAAGATGTTTCAGAGAATACACAGTTTATAGGAAGAAAGGAAACTAATGTATGTGAAGTATTGGTGGGAATTTAAAAAAAGTATATCATGTTTGATGCAGCTACAGTGGGCTGAATCGATGGACGTTTGCCTGCTCTGCACACTTGGAGCTATTTGATGCACAAGCAAATTGTGTGTGTCATTAATGTCAGACATGAATGATCAGGAAAGACATACTAGTTCCAGTGCTTTGATAAGCATGATTGTATAATATGCATAACTGAAAACTTTATTAGATTGGTGCTTTACATTTGAATGTGCCAAGAATATCTTAGATGTACACCTATGAATATAATGTGTGATATCTTTCATTATGCATAACTTGGTTTTATTTTCACAGCTACAACCAGAACAGAAATATGTGATATGCTAACTGTGTTCAATAATATGGGTTTGAGTGAGGGGTGGGTTCCTGCCTGTTCTAACCGGTTCGCTAGATGAGGTTCCAGAAATCTAGTGAGCTGTTTAGAACCGGGGCCACCGGTGGAACCGGCCACACCCCCTCACATGCTCCCCCACCACACCTGTCTGGAGGCCATTCGCTCGCCCCCCTGCCTGTCCGGAAGCCGCTCCATCACTTGCTCCCACCTCCCACACTATGCTATCCCCACCCACCGCTCACTGATTGGCAGGATCACCAATCGCCCTGCCCACCTTAAGAGCACTATCTAAACCCACTTATCTTTTTTTCCTTCTTGGCTCTCTATTGCTGCCTGCCAACTCCAAGGAGGTAAGTAAGCTGCAACTAAGTGTGGGGTGGGGGGTGGGGCGGCAGGCCAGCTGGAGCGACCTGCCATGGCCCTGCACTATAAGTGAGTCCGGTGACCTTTTGCAGCCTTACGAGGATCCTGGGCTCGCTTATAGCGCAGGGCCACATGGCTGCATGGCTGCCAGCAAGCACAGGCATGGGGGTGGGGATGGTGGCAGGATCTTACGTGATGCGGCCGGCGTCTTTGGCAAGTTCGGGGACCTTGCATGGCCTTTGCAAGGTTCCTGGACTTGCTTAACATGCCTGGCCACCAGCAAATACGGGTGCAGGGGGGGGAAACTGCAGCAGGAGCTTATGCAGCACGACCAGTCTCCTAGTGCCTCCTAGGTGCTGGCCGTGCCACGCAAACTACCGTCCATTTTCCCATGCTCAGAAAAGCAAGTCCGGAGAGGTCCTTTGGTGGTGGACAGGCATCCCAGAACCTACCTGCCAGCAAAGGACTTACCTAGACTTGCTTTTCTGACCACGGAGAAACTGGTGGTAGTTTGCATCATCCGTCCCCCCGTGCCCAGAAAAGCAAGTCCGGGAAGGTCTTTTGGTGGTGGGCAGGTGTACCGGAAGCTGCCCACCAGCAGAGGACCTTCCTGGACTTGTTTTTGTGAGCACAGGGAGACGACGGTAGTTTGCACCGTCTGTCTCCCTGTGCTCAGAAAAACAAGTCCGGGAAGGTCCTTTGGTGGCGGGCAGGCATCCCAGAAGCTGACCGCCAGCAGAGGACTTTCCTGGGCTTGCTTTTCTGAGCACGGGGAGATGGACGGCACAAATTACTGTCCATCTCCCCGTGCTCAGAAACGAACTCCTCATCAGGACCTTCCACAGTGACAGGCCTCAGAATTACATCTCCACAATCTCAAATTTTATTTATTGNCATGCATGCATGCATGCATATGTGTGTGTATATGTGTGTGTGTACATACATACATACAGTATATACAGTGTATGTATGTATGTATGTATGTATACATGCATGCATCTGTGTGTGTGTGTGTACGTATATGCATTGAGTAAACATGGCCTTTTCAGTAAGAAAAATACAAAAGCCAAATACAAAAGTATTTTTTAAAGAAATTATATGCGTATTTGTATATGTGTATAA